ATGTCCACGTTATGTAAATCTTAGAAAAAAATATTTACCTATATTTTATCTGTCAAATCAGACTTACGAAAAATTTCTTAGTTTATTGCAGTTTGACAACTTATCTGTACTTCAAATTTCAAAATTTGTATTCTACGTTTCTAAACACAGAGTCAATCTACTTAACCAGTTGTGACTAGTAGATTGAACAATTATTTAAAGGAATCCCTCTGTATTTATTTTTCTATTCTTTTTTTTTTTTTTTTTGATTTATTGTACCATAGGCCTGAGGCCATTGTACTGAATAAAATTCATATTCATTCATAAATTCATGTTCAAGGGCCATAATCATGATCTTTTAGTAGATGAAAGTAAACTCTTTTTTTACAAGTTTTATCGAATTGTCAATATACTGGTATAATAATAAAATAAAAGTTGGGTATACCACCTTATATTGCACGATTCACTCCATATATGCACTCGCCTGCGACTCGTGCATATATGTCGTGAATTGTGCAATATCTCGTGGTATACCCGCCCTTCGGCGGGGGGTTAGGACATAATATTAACTAGTCTGTAAACCAACCAATTTTCTTGACCTTTTAGTTTTTCTTTGATAGCTCATATACCAAATGAATGCTGTTATTTGATCTTACAGTATAAAACAGCTTTGGTGAAAGAGTTCAGTGAGAATGCCTTGCCATACTTTAATGTTGGAAGTACTCACCAACTGAAAACAGTTATAGATACAGTATTTCCACTGCAAGATATTGGCAGAGCACATCAGTATATGGAAGATAATAAAAACATTGGAAAAATTGTAATCCAAGTCAGAGATGAGAAACAGGAACCACCTCGCAGTGAATTATGATGAGACATTGATATTGAAATGTAACCATGTTGATATTGGGTTCTACTGTAATTTGAGATACTATTAATTATTAAATATGTACTTCATTTTTTTTTTGATTCGTCCCTGAAATTTCCACACCCCATATCATTTCAGGAGTATCGTTTTTTGAAACATGGAAGAAATAAACAATGTTTAGAAGTACGATATTTTTCCCTTGGGGTACATAAATATACTTGCCGAGTGAAATGAAATTTGAACAACAGTAATGATAATTTTAGGCACTTATTTTGACTAAAACTAATTTGCATATCACCCATGCAATGTTTTTGGTATTTTCGCAGTCGATATGCAAATGAACATATTATTTCACTCTTGAAAGTACGGCCACAGGATACACCGCATCACTCGTGAAAATAACTTCCATATGTAATAAAAACCACATGGAGGGTGTGGAATTTGATGATTTAGGCCTAGATGCCACATCTCCAATCGTAGGCTGATAACAGACTGAAAAAAATGATATATTGTGAATGATGGATACTTTTTCTTGCCCTGAGCTATTAAAAAAAAATCGCAGTTTTAAAAAACATTGTGTTTAAAAAACATTGTGTTCTATGGAATTGTTCTAAATATAGTCCATTTTCAACAATAAGTTTCTCAAAATATAAACACACACATGAATGCTTTTACATGGTGCCATGGGAAATACTTCCATGATTTTACATAATAAACCAAATGAACATTGTCACACAAAGATTTTCTGTTTGATAACCACAAGCCAAGACAAAATTGGATTTGAAACATTTCTAATTTGTTTTTCCTTCACATTTTATAGGACATCTCTTTTACTCATGTTACCACTGTGGAAAATTGCATATTTTCCAAGTTTAATAGTTAGTTTTGATCAAATCTGGAGATCACCATAAGGTACAATGTAGTATGTTGTATGAAATCTCATTTTGATCAATCCAGTGGTACTTGATTTATGATATTGATATTGAATTTATTGCATCCTTAGAAATAATTTCCATTGGTTGACAGCAATAAAATGTTAGTAATAAAGTACAATACATATAAAACTAAAGTAAAATGTCAGTTATTGTTATTTCTGATTTCAAATATTTTGTATAAGTATTCACCAACTTGTCTTATTAGTACTTCTTCTCTTGAACTCATAATATATTTAAATATCTGGTCATCACTTTTCAATTCTTCTGGAATACTGATATTATTAAATAGCTTTTGTCTTTCTGTTTGGTACCTAAGACATTCCATGAAGAAATGTTCTTCATTTTCAATTTTGATCTGGGAACATTGCTTACAGATTCTGTCTTCTAAAGGTATTTTGGGTTGGGTATGTCTACCCTTCTCAATTTCTAATACATGACTGCTTATTCTGAAACGAGTCAATAAGATTTT